GAATTTTTTATACTCTTAAATATGCAAATAGAGATTTGAAAGCCTCGAAAAAGTCATACATAACCAAAAGAAAAATAAAAATTTTGTCCCATTTTATAAATATTATTGATTTTTTGACTGCTTTATAAAAAAAAGTTATTTTTCTTTGTAGTTTTATTTCCTAACTATTCCAATGGTCCAACTAACGTTTTTTCGTAATCACAATAAATAAATTATTATCATGGTCCAACAAACGCGCACCTTAAGCCGAAACCGGCCTTTGTGTGGGAGCCAGCCGGTAAAGATGCCTCTGCGTACATTCATATCTGGTCTAGGACAGCGCCCCGCTTGTGACGTATAATCCATCGCATGTGTTCATCTCTTGCTAAGCGATATTGTCGTTGTCCTTGTTTTTCGCATCATAATGAGAGAGAAAACAACAGAGGCACACATTTACTGTGCCCTGTGTCCATCTTCTTTCGGAATTCTCGGAACGTCGCTCAGTATCGTCCAGTAACGTCCAGTATCGTGCCAACGCGGTTTGCGCTGAATATTAGATAAAATAATAATAGGCATTGAGGAAAATAAGTTATTTTTTTTTGTTTATTATACTAGGGCACGTGCCCATGTGCCCTTAAGGGCAAACTGCCACTGCTAAAATGGATGATTAGAAAACGGTAAAACAATGATAAAATGATAAAATTGACTAATCTATAATTAATGGCGATCGTCAAATAACCATGTATGGGTTATTTTCGAAATGGGACAAACTACAAGCTACAAGTTTCTTTTTTTTTTCTCGACAAATTTATGACGATAAAGCGACAAATTTTCAAATATTCAAAAATTTAATTTTCAAACGTGGTAGAACTGACTTTACGAAAATCAAATATTATTTTACTAACTGGCAACTGCATTTAATTTTTAATACAAATTATGAGTAGACAATATAGCCGTAGAAAAAGTATGGTGTTAAACTTTCTCATTTTCATTCATTTATAGCATTCGCTTGCAAGCATCATACTCGCAAAAAAATATTCCTTGCTTCTTCTATGAGTATTACTACAGGTTATTTTGCATTGACAGGGGTTTATTTTAAAAAGGGGACGAACGACAAAAAGAATTTAACACCAAATTTTTGACAAAAAGTGACAATTTATCCATATAAAAATATCATTTATGCTTACTTTCATAATTAGTAGAGCAAACTTTCGATCAAAATTAGCATTAAATTGGGTTTATTTCAAAAAAGGGGATTAGCGACAAAGTTTTTTCATAACAAATTTACGACAAAAATCGACAAATTATCGACATAAAAAAAGTAATTTATGCTCATTTTTGTAATTTTGTAACTTTCCTCAAAATTAGCATTACCTACCTAGGATTTATTTCAAAAAGGGGACGAGCGACAAAATATTTTTTTTTTTTTTTTGACAAAATCATTTACGCTTATTTTCGCGATTGATAATGTCTGCTTTTCATCAAAATTAGCATTAACTGGGGTTTATTTCAAAAATGGGATAAGAAACAAAAAATTGTTCCACAACAAATTTACGACAAAAATCGACAAATTATTCACAAAAATAAAAAGTAATTTTGGCTCATTTTCGTGATTCGTGGTGTTAACTTTACCTGCGACAAATATTTTTTTTTACTTTCCAATCTGTATTCAGATATAAGGAAAGTATAGGAATCATGATTTTTTTCGACCTCGAGTTTTCGACGGATTTTTACGTTTTGAGGTCCCCTAAATCCGTTTTGACTATTTTCGCGATGATATCTGTGTGTGTCTGTATGTCGCATAACTCATGAACCGATACACAGAAAAACACCAAATTTTAAACTTAAACTTTATTCCAGCGTCTTATGAACTTATTAGATTTTGGGCAGTGTCGGAACATCTGGGGAGGTACTTTATAGGTGGTCATTTTTATATTTTATGGAATATATCTGTTATTTACGTTTGGAGAAGAAAATTCTTTAAATAAAAGTTACTTCTTATATTATCTAAAATTTTTGTTATATACAAAATTTTCCTAAAATAGTCCGTATTCGAGAAATTTGACAAAATGTAAAAAAATATTTTTTTTATAAAAATTGATCAAACAAAAGTTGTTTGTAATATAATTCTCTATAAGTTTTATTTCGGCCTGACGTGCAATGATTTGATGTTGGACAAAGTCGGAACATATGGGGGGGGGGGTACTTTATGGGGGGCCGTTTTTATATTTTATGGAATATATCTGTTATTTATGTTTGGAGAAAAAAATAGTTCAAATAAAAGTTATTATTAATATTATTATCTATAATTTTTGCTTTTTGTCAAAATTTCCTGAAATGGTCCGTATTCGAGAAATTTGACAAAATGTGTAAAATTCTGATTTTTATGAAAATTGTTGAAATAAAAGTTGTTTGCGATATCGATCTCTATAATTTTTGTTTATACATAATTTTTCTAAAATGGACCGTAATGGAAAAATTGTAGGAAAAGTGCTAAATTTTAATTTTTCAGTATTTTCATTTTCAATGAATATCTATAGAAAAATGTTTCGAGGTAGATGTATGTGGAAAATGTATATATTTAGTTTATCCTCTAAAATTTTATGGAGGTGCTGCAATAGGTTGTACAAAATAACCGGAAAAAGCCTGTAATAACTAGATAGGAAAGTCATGTGTTGGACACATCAGATTTTTATAACTAATTTACGAAAACATACTATCTGTATCTGACAAACCCATAGAAGAATTTTATTAAAAATTGGTAAGAACAGTAAAGAGGTAATGATATTTCCATTTTTTTATTTTTATAGTTCTGTAATTTCTGCTTATTTTTATTTCGGATTATGATAGAATATGAAATTTTAGAGTCAATATGGTATAAGTACAGCTAAAGTGATTAATTTTTTAAAAAAATATTATATACGAAAATTACCATTCCGGGCATTAACATAATATACATATATTTATGGCTAAAGTTAGTTAAAATTTAAAAGTTTTTTAATTGAATTACAGTAAAAAAGGTAGTAATTAACTTTTTAATGACATTACACGATCTTTTATTATGCAGGATGAAAAAAATATGTATAAATGTTAATATAACAAAATATCAATATCTTAAAGTTTTTAAGTGAATACATTATTTTTTATTATTTTATAATATTCTAGAGCCAAAAATTAGTGGAATTCGTGTTAATTTCTCTATAATAATTCTGAAAGGTTTTTGATAAAAAAAGAGCATGACTTTTTTGGATAAATTCATCTAATATTTTCTATTAAGTAGCCGTTTTAAAAGTAAGCATTAAAACGTCAAAACTTTAAACAGTAAAAAATTCGTTGGGAATGTTTTATTTTTTTAATAATAATTTAATTATTTCCACTATTTTAACGTAAAGATGACATATGAAGATTTCCTTAATTTATTATAATTAATAATGAATGTATTAAAGTTGCTCAAAGAACTTGTGATACTTTTGCTGTAATATACACAGGCAGATCCTGTCTGTCAATTTTTAATCATTAATTTTTTATATTATAAATTTTCGTATCAGCCAATCGAGATCCTTTTCTTTGGCCACCAAGATCTCCGGAGCTCACACCTCTAGATATTTGTTATATGGGGCTATATTAAATGAAAGACCTATCACACTTCTTTAACCACTAAAAAAGATTGCTAAGAATGATTACGCAAAATATTCCATTAGATACCGCCCCAATCAATTGAAGAATAAGTGGATGAAGGTGTCACATTGTCACATTTTTTAAAAAAATATTTTTTTTGCTTAATATACTTAAAATATACTATATTTTTTATTTGTGATAGTTCTGATTTCCAATTTTATAAATAACGGCTATTCATCATATAGGAAGGTGTCATGAGCCATATATCATAATGCAATTGTAAAACTTTAAACTTGTTTTTCTCGAAATAATTTTTTTGTGACATGACACCTTTATCCACTTATGTCTTCAATTGTTAGAGCCTGTACAAATACCATCGCCCCAAGATAGAAAAATGTTTAAAACAGGATGGAAAACAATTTAAATAATTTTCATAACTTTTGCGTTTACGATTTTAATTTCCTCACATTCTCACATAGTTTTTAAGGCGCCTACTCGATAGAAAATATTTCTTTTATCCCAAAAATTTTTTTAATATTCTTTTTTTAAGATGTGTATAGGATAATAAAACTTGAATTTCACTTATTTTTGACTGTAGAATATAATGAAACAATAAGAAAATAATGTATCTATTTAAAAAATTGAAAATATTGATGTTTGATTAAATCAAAATCTAAAGATGTTTTTTTTGCCTCGCCATGTATATCACAAGATCTCTTAATTACTACCTTCTACGTCATAATTCAATTAAAAACTTTAGTCAAAAATTTAAAATATTTTAATATACCCACTATAATCATCTTTTTCGACAATATTTTTTTATAAAAAATTTCAAATTTTAGTTATACACTTTATTACACATTACACAAAGTGACCCTAAAATTGCATGTTCTACCGGAATCCGGAATAAAAATAGGAAAGTTGACATCTACTTCCGGCGTAAGCGGAAATGACAGAACTTTCAAATTATTTGAGATGGAAAGATCATAATCGTTACCAATTTTTAATTGTATCTGTGCATTAGTTTCTCAGTTATACATGATAATGTTCCTATCAACAATTTTTTTTTATTTCTTCTGAAACAATTTTTATATTGTATATGAAACATAGAAGGATGGAACAAAGATTCATATTTTTTTTGAAATAATGTTTAATATATGAAGTGATCTACAAAAACTGTTTCTAAAATAGGCCTTGGAAAAATTCGCGTATGTAGGAGCGTTCAACTCTCCTTTTTAATTGTCATTTTGGATTTAATCCAGAGCTGCGAGTAAGTATCACGGACAAGACTCGTATATCTATCTTTGTCGGTCATGGCCTATTTTAGAAAAGAAAATTGTGGATCATTCTTTATTATTTTTAATAAATAAACTTAATAATTATTATTATTTGTTTAATTTTACCTGCTTCTGCACAAATTGCAGTTTCTTTTGATGCTGTGTTGGTGCACTGCTCAATTTGAATACTATCAAATTTCTACAATAAAACCAAATATTATAAAACAATGAAACGGGTAATAAAAAAAGGCACACAAACACCCAACGGTAATTTATAAGAATATTCTCCACGAAACCCATCACTGTTGTGTAAAGCGTTCCGCGTTTCCGACGCCGGTCATACGAATACGATCAGTGCTTGGCAAGTAGTAATAAAATATTACATAGTTACCTATCTGGTTTCTAATGATTACAGACAGAGAGCCAACAACCTTTTACCCTGCGCCATTCGTTTAATTCAGGATAATATAAATTTCAATAATTCTCCATTTCTAACATTTTAATGAAATAAAGATGAGCTTGATCGATGAAACAATGTTTTTATGTATTAAGAACACACCCTATTATCATCAAAAAAAGCAAGTTGACTCATGATAAGACTCCATTAATCCATTGTGTCAACGATTTAAGAGCAACAATAGCACGACAAAAATTATCTACAAGAGTTTTACTTTAACACTTTAACTGACTCTGTTTTATTTAATAATGTTATTTTAATTATTATATAATTATATTATAATTATATAAATTATTGTAAAGATAAAATATTCCGCTGTTGAGTAGAAACAGTGCTCCAATAAAAAATCAGTAACAATTTTTTTAAAACTATATATGCTTAAGCTTCGTATATTTTTCTTATGATAGAAATTAATAAAGCAATTATATATGTCTACATTAGGTTTGTTATTTTGTGTTGTAGATAGTCTTGAATATGGAATTGCAAAATTCTCCCTGTGCCTTGTGTTATACGTGTGTATGTCCATGTTTAGTGGTACCTGATAGTGTTTTTTGTGTATCCATAGTAATGTCTGGAGTATATATACACAGGGAAGAGGGAGAATTCTGCAACTCTTAAAGAGTGGTTTGCAGTGAGTACCATAGGGGACACCGGCAACAATTCGTACAGCAGCTTTCTGACAGCTAAAAACTTTATGTAGAGCACTGCTTCTACCCCAAAGCAATGTACCATAATAATAATAATAATAATAATAATAATAATAATAATAATAATAATAATAATAATAATAATAATAATAATAATAATAATAATAATAATAATAATAATAATAATAATAATAATAATAATAATAATAATAATAATAATAATAATAATAATAATAATAATAATAATAATAATAATAATAATAATAATAATAATAATAATAATAATAATAATAATAATAATAATAATAATAATAATAATAATAATAATAATAATAATAATAATAATAATAATAATAATAATAATAATAATAATAATAATAATAATAATAATAATAATAATAATAATAATAATAATAATAATAATAATAATAATAATAATAATAATAATAATAATAATAATAATAATAATAATAATAATAATAATAATAATAATAATAATAATAATAATAATAATAATAATAATAATAATAATAATAATAATAATAATAATAATAATAATAATAATAATAATAATAATAATAATAATAATAATAATAATAATAATAATAATAATAATAATAATAATAATAATAATAATAATAATAATAATAATAATAATAATAATAATAATAATAATAATAATAATAATAATAATAATAATAATAATAATAATAATAGAAGAAGAATAGAAGTTTATTGACATTTGTTTCTATACAGGAAGTACATTTTGGTCACAATATAAAATGGTCAAATTTTAAAATGTCAAAAAGACGTAACAGTATAATAAAAATAAAATTTAAAATTTCAGTACAAATACAAATAAAATACAAATACAATTTAAAATAAAAATATAAAATACAAATACAATTTTAAATAAAAATATAAACTAAAACACAATTTAGAATACAATTTAAAATACAATTTATCAATATAAAACTAGCTAAAGAACAAATTTACTAGTGTCAAACTGTTTGTTTAAATTTTAAGAACTCGTCTATACTATAGAAACATTCCTCAAGTAAGAACTCCTTGGCCAGATTCTTGAGTTTATTGTTGGTAAGATTTTTAATATTAATATTCAAGTGATGTGCTTGAAAGCAGTTGTATATTCTCACATCTATTTTGTTTTGCTTAGTTATAAGTAATCTAGAGGCCAGGGGAACAAAGTTGTTTGCATTTCTCGTATTATAGCTATGTAGATCAGCTTGTACGCTAAAGTTTCCTAAGTTAGTATGAATAGCTAACAGAGTTTCTAGTATGAAAACACACGGTAGTGGCAGTATACGAAGTTTCTTGAAGAGAGGGCGACAATGCGCGTCATAATCAGAATCTGCTACAATGCGTACGGCAGCTTTTTGTATAACGAATGCCTTATTAGCTGTGCTAGCATTTCCCCATAATATTATGGCATAAGTGAGTATACTATGAATTAGTGCGAAGTATACTATTTTTAACCCTGCTGTATTTAGAAAAGCTTGCATCTGCCTAAGAGCAAATACCTGTGATGACATTCTAGAACTCAAAATGTCTATATGTTGAGCCCAGCTTAGACCAGAATCAAGGGTTACCCCTAGTAGTTTTACAGGTTCATCTTTCTTGACTAATTTACTTGAGGTGAAGACAATATGTTGATTCTTTTTCTCGTTTAGTTTTAATTCGTTTGAGTTAAACCAAATTTTTGCCATTGAGACACAGTTATTGTTCATAATCTCGCAGTCTTTCGTCAATATAGATGTGTCATCCGCAAATATTAACGTAAAGCCTTGCTCAACTGCGTTTGGCAAATCATTTATGTAGATAATGAACAACAAGGGTCCTAGCACAGAACCTTGTGGAACTCCTCTATTTGTGTATTGTAGTGTGGATTCTGTGTTATTGAAACATACATATTGCCTTCTGTCAGATAAATAGGCTGATAGTAAATCTAACTCCTTACCCCGAATTCCGTAATATTCAAGTTTAGAAAGAAGGATATTTATATTAACACAGTCAAAGGCCTTGGTCAAATCGCACAGAGTTGCAGTTGTACTGGTACCTTCATCAAGACCTTCGACTATTTCGTCAATTAATTTCAGAAGAGCCTTCACAGTTGACCTCCCTTTTCTAAACCCGAATTGCGATGGAGTAATTATGTTTTTATACTCAAAATAGCTTATTAATTTATCTTTTAATAAGATTTCAAACACTTTACCAATAATAGGGACAATAGCTATAGGTCTGTAATTATCAGTAATATTTAGATCGCCTTTTTTGTGTACTGGCAAAATCTTACTAATTTTTATATCATTTGGCCAAATACCTTCAGATATACACTTGTTGTACAAGGTTGTAAGCGGTTGAACAATACTGTCAAGTGTAATTTTTAGCATGGCACTATTTAGTCCGTGGTAATCCAGACAGCTTGAATTCTTCAACCTTAGTATGGCTTCCCTGACATCAATATCCAAAACTGGTGACATAAAAAAAGAGGTTTGTGGTTTTGGCAACCTATTTATATAAATGCTTGTATCTATGTTATCATTGTTGATTGTGGGGGTTAGTTTATCAGCTATCGTGGTGAAAAATGTGTTTAGCTCATCAGATGTAAGTGCTGATGCTACAATGTCAGCTTTATTAGTTTTCCTCTCCGCATTAACAATGTTCCACACAGTCTTATTTTTGTTTTCGGATTTACTAATTATATCGGTACAGTAGTCATGTTTCCTTTGCTTAATAGATTTTTTGTATTTTTTTTTTTTTTTTGTTGAAATTTATATATACACCAGTCCTCAAGTGAGTTTGTCAAATTAAATTGGGATTTAGCAAGAAATACTTCTTTGCGCTTGCTGCTTAGCTCATGGTTATACCACGCAAATCCCTTTGCTCGTGTACGATAGGATTTTAGAGGAAAACAGATTTCACAATATGTTTTAAATATCTGTAAAATATTTTCACACATATCCTCAGGCCGTAATGCATCTAACTCTAAACCTTGCCAATCGAAACTATTCACTAATTGAGCGAATTTTTCAAGTGATTTGTTATTTATAACTCTCCTATTAATATTTTTTTTATTTGTATTAATAATATTTCTAATGCGCATATAAATGCCGTGATGATCACTTATATCCATATCCAAAACTCTAGTGGAAAATGCGTTACTATCTAAATTTGTTAAGACATTGTCTAGTTTAGATTTGGTGTTAGGTGTAATACGGGTGGGATCGTGTATAAAATGTTTCATACCAAACATAGCTATAATATTACGAATATCTTTTGAGTGTACGGAATTGCCATCTAGATCGCAATTAAGATCACCCAATATACTAATATATTTGTACTTCTGTGACAGATCGGACAATAATCTAGTTAATAAATGTTTAAATATTAGCTCGTCTCCATTTGAAGACGATCTATAAACCGTAACAAGTATGCTGTTTTTGTTAACAAATTCGACTCCGCAAAATTCAGCGTGAAAAGCAAGTAATTTGATAAATCTATTCCTTTTAAATTAATATTATGATTGCAAAAAATAATAATAATAATAATAATAATAATAATAATAATAATAATAATAATAATAATAATAATAATAATAATAATAATAATAATAATAATAATAATAATAATAATAATAATTAATAATAATAATAATAATAATAATAATAATAATAATAATAATAATAATAATAATAATAATAATAATAATAATAATAATAATAATAATAATAATAATAATAATAATAATAATAATAATAATAATAATAATAATAATAATAATAATAATAATAATAATAATAATAATAATAATAATAATAATAATAATAATAATAATAATAATAATAATAATAATAATAATAATAATAATAATAATAATAATAATAATAATAATAATAATAATAATAATAATAATAATAATAATAATAATAATAATAATAATAATAATAATAATAATAATAATAATAATAATAATAATAATAATAATAATAATAATAATAATAATAATAATAATAATAATAATAATAATAATAATAATAATAATAATAATAATAATAATAATAATAATAATAATAATAATAATAATAATAATAATAATAATAATAATAATAATAATAATAATAATAATAATAATAATAATAATAATAATAATAATAATAATAATAATAATAATAATAATAATAATAATAATAATAATAATAATAATAATAATAATAATAATAATAATAATAATAATAAT